AAACAAGGTGGTGTTAAAATAGGCAAATAGGATGGTAAATAAAGCAACTCAAACTGTATATTATAATCTTTTAAACGGAATAATAAATGTATAAGAATGACAAGTGTAAAGAATGATAAGGAGGAAGGATGGAAGTAGAGAAGGGTGGGAGGGAGAAAAGAAAGGGAAAACAAGGTGGTGTTAAAATAGGCAAATAGGATGGTAAATAAAGCAACTCAAACTGTATATTATAATCTTTTAAACGGAATAATAAATGTATAAGAATGACAAGTGTAAAGAATGATAAGGAGGAAGGATGGAAGTAGAGAAGGGAGGGAGGGAGAAAGGAAAGGGAAAATAAGGTGATGTTACAACAGGAGGAAGGGATGGTAAACAAAGCAACCCAAACTGCATATTATAACCTATTAAATGAAATAATAAATGTATAAGAATGACAAGTGTAAAGAATGATAAGGAGGAAGGATGGAAGTAGAGAAGGGAGGGAGGGAGAAAGGAAAGGGAAAATAAGGTGATGTTACAACAGGAGGAAGGGATGGTAAACAAAGCAACCCAAACTGCATATTATAACCTATTAAATGAAATAATAAATGTATAAGAATGATAAATGTTAAAACACCTGTAACCAAACAACATGCTGTAGGTGATGATGGGGGGGGGGGAGTTGTTGGTTTTTTTGTTTTTTCATTGTTGTGTGTATGTGTTGTCTATGTAATAAAAAAAAATTATAATAAAAAAAGAATGATAACTATGTGAATATACCTATAATTGTATGTAAGAGAATAAAAATACAAAACTTTAAAAAAAAAAGAAATTGAGAAGGCTGCTACCTCCTCTCAGATATATTGAGGGGGGGAGTACACGGGCTGTAGAGTACCCTTGCAGAGGACACTTTTCAACACAAGTTGTTGCAATTGTAATGTTTCCTGATTCCTAGTGAATTATTGCTGTTATCACAGAACGCAGAACAACAGGGTTGGAAAGGACCTTGGAGGTCTTCTGTTCCACCCCCTTGCTCAAGTAGGAGACCCTACATCACTTTACAGAAATGCCTGTCCAATTTCTCCTTAAAAACCTCCAGGGGTGGAGCACCCACAACTTCTAGTGGCAAGCCGTTCCACTGATTAATTGTTCCCACTGTCAGGAAATTTCTCCAACTAGGTTGGATCTCTCATGTTTATCTTGCATCTGTTACATTTTGTCACGTGCTTTGGAGAACAAATTGACCCCCCTCTTCTCTAGGTCAGCCCCTCAAATATTGGAAGATGAAATCATGTTATCGTCATTGTTTCCTTTCTTAGATTAGACATATCTAGTTTCCACAACTGTTCCCTGATCATCTTTACTTCTTCTTCTTCTTAATTGTTGCTCTTTGTATTGTTCTCTATATTGTGTACACTAAAGGTAAATGGTAAAGATTTCCCTGTTCAGGCATTTCTGAGTCTACGGTGTAGTACTCATCCCCATTTCTTGGCTGAGGAAGCCAATGTTGTCCGAAGACAATTTCTCTGGTCATGTGGCCAGCAGGGCTATATGTTAAAGGTGCATGGAACGCTGCTACCTTCCCAGCAAAGTGGTACCTATTTACCTACTTGCATTAGCATGCTTTCGAACTGTTATGTGGGAAGGAGTGGGAGCTCATCCCATTGTGTGGTGCTAAGACCATGATGGTGAATCTATGGCACATGGAGCCATATCTGCCAGCACGTAAGCTGGCAGCTCAAGTGCGCATATGCGCACTGGTCAGCTGATTTGGGGGCTTTTGGAGGGCCGGGGGAGGCCGTTTTTGCCCTCCTTGGGCTTTAAGAAAGCTTCCGAAATTTGGGGAGGGTGAAAAACAGGCCCAAAGGGCCAACTGGAAGTTGGGTACTGAAAACAGCCTCCCCCAGCCCTCCCAGAGGCCCTCCAGAAGCCGGAAATGGATAATTTCTAAACTTTCCTGGAGCCTGGGGAGGGTGAAAATGGCCTCCCCCAGCCCTCTGTAGGAAATACCAAGCTCAGCTTGGAGGTGAGTAGTGTGGCACATGGGGGTTGTGCGTGTATGTGCATGTGGGGGCGCAATTTGCATTATGGGGGCCGGCACATACATGCACTAATGTGCGCGTGCCCTCACATTTTTGGCACCCAATAACAAGAAGGCTATCTATCACTGTGCTAGGGTCTCCAACCTGGACTGATAGCTGTTGAGCCATATTATCAAAATCTTCCAAGAATGACTTTCTATGACTACAAGATCACATTCATCTAAAAGAAGCAACCCAAATTCCTAAATTGGACAGTGTGGTCAAAAGAGAGAGGGGAGGGAGGGGGAAGGGTGGGAGAGAGCGAATCAGAGCAAATTAACACTAAGGGAACAAGGGCTGGTAGAAAGGGCTGAGAACATTTAAGTGTTCCTGAGCTACCCTATTTTGATTTTCTCATAAATCCCAGGAGACCTCTTGAATGAAATGAAATAAAGTGAATGGATGAATGATTCTCACTGGACCCTTGGACTTCAGTACAGATACATGTTTCATATTTATACTTGCCATCTGAGATACCCAGCCAATTGATGGAGGCAAAAAATATTCAAGAAAGAAAAAAACCATATGGCTTTTAACCCCCCATCCCTCTGGGTGGTTGTATGCCATATGGGTTGGATAGAGATCATATTTTTTAACTGCAAAGAATTTCTCTGTTGATAAACATGTGGTTTATCTAACAGGAAAAAAGTCAGAAAGATTGTGCTATGGACAATCTCTAATGGCCCATGGATGTGCCAAATAAAAATATAATTAGGAAAGAACCTGGCCCCTTGCCCAATCTGTAATAGCAAAGGGGTTTTTTTCCCTTTGTTTTTCTTTGGTGTATGTTGTTCTACGTTTTAATGTAGATGTATGCTTTTCTGTTTTTGAGTTTAAGTCATGCGCTGAAACGTGGCCCCTTGACATCCCATGAAATGTCCCCTCCCAAAACGAGACGCTACCTTTATAAATGATCTCATGGAGAAGAGGTTTGCCAACATAGTCGATAGGCCTGGTGCCAGGCAGCTTTGGGCGATAAACCCCAGCTTTAGTTCAGCAAGGCATATGGCGTCATCGCCTTCTTTCCAATTCCAGCTTGGAATATTTAGCAGATGGGCCTGCAACAGGAAAAAAAATCAGGTCAGCCATGATCCCTGAAATCTTTGATTATGCATCTTACCATCTCAGGGGAAGGCAAGAGGAGGAGATGAAAGGGAAAAGAATACCTTTAGCTTTTCATTTCTAAGAAAAAAACACCCTATTTTTATTTTTTTCATTTTGTGGGGAGTTGGCTGCAGCAAGTTATCCCATTCCAATTTAAGTTACTTGTGTGTTTTTTATTGGGTTTTGTTGTGGCCCGCCAGCAACCAACGGAACTGGCAGCAGAGTCGGACAGTGAGGAGGTTGGGGAGGAACATGGGCCAGTCCTGGAGGCTGGGGAAGGCTCAGATGACAGCTCTGCATCAGAGGCAGAGATGGGGCCAAGATCGTCTGGCAGTTCTCAGCTGTCTTCGGAACTAGACAGCAGTGAGGCAGAGGAACAGCTGGAGCCTGTTCCCAGTGTGTGCATGCAGAGAAGAAAAAAACAGCTAATAAATCAGGGTCAACTTGGGAGTAAAGCCACACGTGGACAGTGAATGGCCCCTCCCATAAGAAATAAAAGAGAAGCGAAAGGGGACTGGGCTTTTGCAGGAAACAATTCATTCGTTTGTTCGTTTCAGAAGTGTGAAGATCTGTCCATAAATCTCAGAGACTCTGTGCCAAGTCTTTCCTTGCACAGCATTGCATTTGGAAAATATTTACATGGCAGCTTTCCAAGCTAGATAAGGTCCGTGATCATAAATTCACCTTTGAAAGACTGTTTGCCAGACCTTTGCTGAATGTGAATGAGAGGAATTCACATTCATTTAATAAAAGGGGTTTTGTCAGGTCCAGGAATCTGCTTTGTGCTTTATGGGGAAGCCAAACGTGTTCTTTTTCCATTATTGGGAAAACAAACAGCTCTACTCTGGAAGATAAAGAATATAATAACTGTACCAATTTGTCTCATGGACTTCCCATGTTAAGAATGTGATTCTTTCCACAGGGAGGAAATTCAAGCATGTGGACCATTCCCGAAGAGGACACAGACAGATGTTCAGCATGGACTGCTTCAGGAAGGAGAAATAAATTTGCATTTCCCTCCCCTGAAAATAGCTGTCCATCTCACATAAGACACACAGAGTCAGCAAATTGTCCTTTAACAATCTGGCTCCTCTTTTTACCAACCTCGGAAGGAGGGAAGGCTGAGTCAACCTGGAACTGCTCAGAATCGAACTCCTGCAGTGAGCAGTGAGTTGGCCTGCAATACTTCATTCTAACCACTGCGCCACCATGGCCTTTATCTTAGATATTATGTCTTAATGTCTCTATTCTAGTGGCAATTGATCGGAAAAAATCTTTTATCAGACAACCTTGATGATAAATATCACAGGATTCCTTACCTTATTGTGATACTGCAGCATCTGAGTGATTATTCTTATTTTTGGGTGGTAGTTCTTTATAGAAATTACTCTGAAAAGGGGATAAAAAGCATTTCTTGTAATTTTGATTTGGAAATAGTCTCATATTTATTCTTGGTAGAGAGTTTCAAAAAGCCCAAGATAAAATGTGTTAGGGAAAAAGGCACGAGATTCCTCCTGATTTTTGGCTGTGGTTGATTAATGTAAGTAATTCTTGACTTACAATCACAATTGAGCCAAAAATTTACGTTAAGTGAAACATTTGTTAAGTGGGTTTTGCCCCATTTTATGACTTTTCTTGCCACAGTTGTTAAGTGAATCACTGCAGTTGCTAAATTAGTAACAGTCATTTAGTGAATCTTGCCATCATAAATATGAACCACTTGCCAAGCGTCTGAATTTGGATTACATGACCGTGGGGATACTGCAATGGTCATAAGCATGAAAATTGGTCATAAGTCAATTTTTTCAGTGCTGTTGTAACTTTGAACAGTCACTAAATGAACTGTTGTAAGTCAAGGTTTATCTGCATGTGACTCTTCTACAAGGTTTACAAATTTCAGGCCTCTCAGAGTCTTAAGATATCCAGCAAGAAATCATTATGCTATTATGTGATGATTTATCCTCAATTTGGGGGGACGAAGATCTTCATTGTATGACTTCATCCAGATAGCAATAACAATAGCACTTATTTTATTTATTTGTTTCTTTGTTTGCATGCATAAGATAATAGATATAAGTACATACAAGATTATGAATACATGAAATGGGATACGAATAAATGGGGAGAGTAGGACAGGGACGGTAGGCACGCTGGTGCGCTTACAGACCTCTTAGGAATGGGGTGAAGTCAATAGTAGACAGTCTAAGGTTAAAGTTATGGGGGTTTGGGGAAGAAACCACAGAGTCAGGTAACACATTCCAGGCATTGACCACTCTGTTGCTGAAGTCGTATTTTCTGCAACTGAGTTTGAAGTGGTTTGCCTTAAGTTTGTATCTATTGTGTGCTTGTGTATTGTTGTGGTTGAAGCTGAAGTAGTCATTGACAGGTAGGACATTGTAGTAGATAATTTTATGTACTACACTTAGGTCAGACCAAAGGCGGCGGTGTTCTAAATTGTCTAAGCCCAAAATTTCAAGTCTGGTGGCATAAGGGACTCTGTTGAGAGCAGAGGAGTGGAGGACTCTTCTCGTGAAATACCTATGGACTCTCTCAATTGTATTAATGTCTGATATTAGTGCGGGTTCCAGACAGATGAGCTCTATTCAAGAATTGGTCTAGCAAATGTTTTGTATGCTCTGGTTAGTAGTACAGTGTTACCAGAGAAGAAGCTACGCAGGATTAGGTTAACAACTCTTAGTTCCTTTTTGGCAATATTGTTACAGTGGGCTTTGGCACTTAGATCATTAGAGATGAGTACTCCAAGGTCCTTGACAGAGTGGGGGCCATCTAAGAGGTCGAATCCGCCCAGCTTATATTTGGTGTTCTGATATATATTTTTTTGCTGATTTTTTTGCCACTTAGACTTATATACCACTTCACCGTGCTTTACAGCCATCTCTAAGTGGTTTACAGAGTCAGCATCAGAGGTGGGTTCTTACCAGTTTGGACCAGTTCAGCCGAGTAACTAGTAACTCGGCCAGCCATGCCCATGAACCAGTTCTATCAGTGGTACCATAGGCGCCATCTTGGTTTTTTTTTTTACTACTGCGTATGCGTGCTTAGTGAAGCGCATCCCTGAGCGAGCCAGCAGTAACAGAAGTCGGGAACCCACCCCTGGTCAGCATTTCGCCTCCAACAATCTGGGTCCTCATTTTACCCACCTCGGAAGGATGGAAGGCTGAGTCAACCTTGAGCCTGGTGAGATTTGAACTGCCAACTTCTGGGCAGCTGGCAATTAGCAGAAGCCAAGGTGGCGCAGTGGTTAAAAAAAGCAGCACTGCAGGCTACTGCTAGATCAGCAGG